GGGACCCACTGGCGTGATAGTTAAATGGAAACCTTCTGTAATATTTAGCATGAGATCGGTCTATCAATCATCCTTATTCGCTGACGACCCGCTCGCTTGCGCAAGAAACAAGTTAAGACAGTTTGGGCGTTCGCTAAGAATATTAACTCTTCGTCCTATCCTGCCCGTATGTCCGAAATTGGTTGCGTTTAAGCATTTAATGTGAGCTTATATCAGTTAATTCTGCAGTGAAACTGGCCTCGTTTTTGTTTGTGCCGTTTGTTAACCCCGTGTGATGCATACAGCCAATTCAATTGCAGTTATGGTAATTTTAAACGTCTCCTCTTTGTTTATATTGATTATAGGAGGGTAATCAAAAGCGTAGAATAAATAAAGCTGGTGGAGGGCCGTCATAAGTTGGTGTGCAATGGGTCGGCCTCCCTTGTAAACAACACGGACAGTTTTAGAATGGATGAATAGCTGAACTGTTGTACTTAAATCCACAACGGATTATGTTGATGGGCCAGGTCCAACCGCGAAACTATTACCTCTGATCAGTGGGTTACAGTTTACTTCCTGATGGGAACTAGTTAGCACTGATGTATGTCTAAGTTTGCACAAATTACACTTAATCTCACCTCGCATTAATTAAACATATTTTGCTCTTGAAGAGATAGAGAGGTGTGTGGCTGCCGTGCGAACAAATCCTCTCTATATTCCATATGAGGCGCATCCACTTCACAACTGCCAAGCAGTTGTAGCTTGTAGGTTCGCCAGTGGGAGCAAGAGAAGGTGAATGACAGACTGCACTGGCTCCTTCTTAATGCACATTTACCGAAATATTTTCGGGATATAAATTCAGCGCATATTTCCCACTCGTAGATGGGCGCCGGATGCCTAGAAAACCCTTTCGCACTACCATATCTTCAGTGATCTTAACTCATCCTTATCGTTGAAACCTGGCACAAGTCTAAAATGGTAGCGAGCCAAATGTCGCGTGATTTTTCCACCTTATCCACTGCATGCGCGGTTTGAGACGGCGCAAGTAGTTGACTTTTGGTCACAATGGACGGAAAACTTGCCAAACAGTAAGGTTGACTCTTTGCTAATCACGTCGGGGTGATTCAAAGCGATACACAGGTTGAAGCTCCGTTGAAGTCGAATTTCTTCCTGTGACCAATGCTCGGATATAAGCCACCCGTTCTGATTACATGCTCTCTAATGCGCAGCGCTAGTTTTTTTTCTTTCATAAGATATTCCTTCTGTTTTACGGGCTTAGCGATGCTGCGGTCAGAATAGTGGCTGTGCCCTAAGCGCAGCACTTCCAGAAGCCTGTTACACTTAGGAGAAAGGGAAAGGTACCAATAGGAGGCGTTCACTGACTACGCGCGGCTTGCTCTACGGACGCCTCTCCGCGAGTGTGATGTTGGAGTGAGTAACTAAGCCTTTCTCACGTGACAGCCAGTCAGCGTCAACCTAGAAACTGGGTAAAATGAGTCATGGCTACTATGCGCGTCTGCGATTGGCTGGCCATGGAGCTGAATGCGCTTTCGCCACCCACCTGAAAGAGGTGGTCATGCGATACCCAGCGTCCTGTATGTGACGAACGGAAGGCGTGGGTGTGCTGCAGGTTCCATTAATGCACCTCTTGTTAACGGTTGGAAATATTGTGACGCGACCCTTTTAACAGGAGTTTTATTCGTTTGACGTTTGAGTCTCTCACTCGAACCCATCGACAAAGACAGCTACAAATGATGACGGACGCACAGGTGGTCCAGGATGGGGTAGAATGATGCAAAAACTGTCTTGTCGGAGGGTAAGTGAACAAGCCGGCAAACAGAGAACCGTAAGCAACTCAGCACAGGGGAACAAACTGTCAAAATGATTGCAGTAGTGGAGTGCGTTCTCAGTCAAACGGTGGCTACAGACGAGACGAAGAACCCTATGCGACACGAAGTTTCGTCTCTACTTATGCCTCAAAGGTCACGCACAATACTCCTCAAAGTCTAACTCGACGCACAAAGGGAACTTAAAGCCAACCAAGGCCTCGGGTTGTATTAGCTAGGGAGGGCAACTAAGTTGGAGAAACCAACCGATAACTGTGAACATGGATGCACAAACATTAATTGGCTACTCGGAAACTAGACCTGAAGACAAAGATGGTAACCCGCGCCGCAAAGATGGGACAGCTCTACAGATTTTACTTCTACCGGCTTGTTGACAACAAATCTGGATATCATCCGACCGCTCAGTCAACTGTCCCCTGTTCGCGCCCACAGTTAAAATTGCTGATCCATGCACCAAGCACAGTGCTCACGAAACCAACACGCCATATACTGACGATTACGAACAAGACAGTCCTACTACTGAACTCGGTAGTCAGAACCGTTTAGCGATGGATCAGAACGCAAGTTCTTCCCTTCTTCGGATATCCTATATGAGAATGGCATTTTCGTTGTCCTGGCGCTCAGTCATTCAATCATTGGAACCTCAACAGGTGCAATGCGGGCGCTAAACATTGCTCAGGGCAAATCCATCCGACGCAGTCGCAGCCTGTAACTGCAAATGAAGGACCGCGTGTTCTCGGGCAAACGACCCTATCTGACAGATGCACTTGAAAATTTGCTTGCGAGCGAATTCGGATCTCAGAGCTTGCTGACAGACATCACTCATACTCGGTGAGTGCTTTCACATGCGGGGCGGTTGCTTATCTGCCTTATATGAGTGTGTGTACGTGTCAAGTGGAGTGGAGCGCCAAGGTGCGGGCTCGACCGTGCCATCCACCTGCGTCCTCTCCTACCTCCGGTCTTCTTGACTCAGTCTTTACACCACGTCCAGGTGGGGAGGGGGAGAGAGTCCGGTGGATACTGTGCAAGTCTACGTCAACTATTTACTAAATCCCGCTCAAGTCACCGTTCCTCCTCTCACTTTGCTGTGTGGTACACGGAGGACATCGTCCGCAACGACGGTCGAACTCTCACAGGGTTTCGGTTTGTGGGTCTACTTGATGGTCGTACTAAGTCGCTCACTCGCTTGCGGATGAAAATACACCAAGCTTCCATCTACTGGCACCCAACTCTCACATTTGATTCCCCGAAGCTAGGCTCTGTCAAGCGGCCACACCCCGGTACCCGCCTCGATCGGCGGTTGAAGCAGGTGAGGGTCTCCGTGTTTGCAGCTACACACACGGTGACTCGGCTTCACTTCCACCATCGCTGACCGGACGGAGCACCGCATCGCCACCTCCAAGATGAAGCGTCAACTGCAAACCCGCTGGAGGTCAAAAGACAAGTGCCCCCCCCCCCCAGGTAAGTCGAATACTGCTCTGTTGTCTTTGCTTTCTGCTTGTTCTTGCTTGCCCGCCTTTGTCTGCTTGTCTGTTTTTGTCCTTGCTGTAAGCTAAATAACGCTCTGCTGAAATTTTCCGCTCACTGTTTATATTTCAACAACTATTTAGCTTAGAGAGGGACGGGAAACTCTGCTTCCCGTCTCTCCACCCTTCCCCCACCCCACGACCCCTACCTTCAAAAAGACCTAAGGCAAGAGCAGCAGCGATCACGTAGGCGGCTCAGGATAACTCGGGTCGTTCTCTTACTAAACACAAGTCGTGGCGCATAGTGGAATTCAGCAGCCGCCTGGGGCAACTGAGCAGCGCTATTTAGGGAGAGCACTGCTTATCCCGCGATCAGGAAGGGGCTAGAAAAGGTGACGTAAACAAATGCTGCGATCACGTCCTCTGCGCTCTGACCGTGGCTCGCAGACGCAAAACACACAGTCGAAACAATCAAACAAGAAACAATACTCTCTCTTCTCCCTCCTCATCCCCTTCGCCCCACTCGTCAGACTGGTAAGGCGATTCCGCTCACTCTGGCAGTCCGGAATGTTTGTTCCCTTTTAGAGAATCTGAAAAGCAACCGACCGGAACGAAGAACGGCGCTAGTGGCTCGGGAACTGGCGCGCTTTAAGGTAGAAGCTGTCGCACCCAGTTAGGTCCGGTTTTCTGAACAGTACCAACTGGAGGAGGTTGGTGCCGCCTATACCTTCTAGAGCAGTCGTCCCAGAGCAGAGTGACGGGATGCGGACGTTGTCTTTGTCATTCGAAACAACATTGTGGCACGACTGCCCTGTCTGCCGCAGGACTTCAATGATCGCCTGATGAGCCTCCGCCTGTCTCATAGGGAGGCAAATTCTCCACCATTGTCAGCGTCTACGCTCCCCGTGGGCCAGACCTGATGCTGCAAGGAATAAATTCTACAATGAACTGCACGCACTCCCGACATCTGTGCCGAAGACGGGCAAGTTGAGTGGCCTTGGAGACTTCAACGCCCGCTTCGGCACAGATCACGCTGCGTGGAGACGAGTGCCGGGTCCCCATGGTCTCAGTGGCTCCAACGACAATGACTTATTCCGCTTACGAACCTGCGCAGAACACCGATTCATCCTGACCCGCACCGTCTTCCGCCTCCCGATGGGGGAGAATGCCACCTGGATGCACCCGCGGTAGCGAAATTGGCACCTGTTGGACTATGTCATCGTCCGGAGGCGAGACCAGTGGGACGTGCTGGAAACATAGGTGATCCGGGATGCTGATGGGTGGACCGACCATCGCCTCGTCATCTCCAAGATGAGGATTCGCCTACAGCCTTGCAGGAGACCTAAAGGTAAGCAACCCCCAGGTAAACGGAATATTGTTCTGTTGTCGTTGCCTCCTCATCATGTACATTTCAGTAATGAACAAGCCCAAAGTCTAGCCAGCCTTCCAGTCGCCGCCGCTAACGAGAACGCCTCTGAGGAGAACCGATGGTGTCACCTGCGGGACATGATCCAGTCAACCGCCCTGACTGTCCTCAATCGCGCACGTTGCCAAAATCAGGACTGGTTAGAAGACATTAAGGCCGGCATCAGCAACTTACTCGCCCAGAAGGACCGATTGAACAAAGCCTGCGTCAATCGCCCTACTGGCTACAACAAAAGCAGTCTTCTACCGTAGTCACTGCCCTGAGTAACAGCGGCTGTGGGAGATGAAGGACGTTTGTACGTTCTGCAAGGTCAAGGAGACCCAAGGATACGCGAACTGCAACGAATGCAGGAACTTCTTCGCCACGATCGAGGCTGTCTACGGTCCTACAGTCAAAGGCACCGATCCTCTTTTCAGCGCCGGCGAGAGTACTCTACTCACCGAGAAGGCCAATTCTACAGCGATTGGTCAAAATTTCAGAGGCATCCTCAACCGTCCCTCCATCATCTCCGACACCATCATCGCCCGTCTACCTCAAGTGGAGGCCAACGCGAACTTCGGCCTCGCGCCCCTGCTGCATGAAACCATCAATGCCGTGCAACAGCTTTCCATCGGGAAAGCGTCCGGATCGGACGCTATCCCTGCTGACATCTAGAAGCACAGTGGTCCCCAAATTATGGAACACCTGACGGCGCTCTTCGGGGAAATTCGACGTCAAGAAGTTCCTCAGAACTTCAAGGACACCACAGTCGTCCATCTCTACAAGCGGAAAGAAACTGCCAACTCTGCGACAACCATCGAGGAATCTCCCTGCTGATAATCGCGCTCCGATCGCCGGGAAAATCTTCGCTGACATTCTTTTCAACCGTCTGAGCAACCATCTGGAACAGGGTCTCCTGCCTGTGCGGCTTCCCGGTCACCACCGAACTACCGACATGAGCGCTGTCGTCCGCCTATTGCAGGAGAATTGTCGGGAGATGCGGACCAAACTCTACTCTACCTTCGTAGATATGACGAAAGCCTTCGACATGGTGAATCGCGCAATTTCGTGGTAAATCATGCAGAAATTCTGCTGTCCCGAGCGATTTACTCGGATGGTGTGTCAGCTCCACGATGGTATGACCGAGCGCGTCACGGACAATGGAGTCGTCGCAGTGGCATTCGCAGTGACCAACGGAGTGAAGCAGGGATGCGTCCTCGCGGCAACCATCTTCATCTTATATTCCCTGTCATGCTGATGGACGCCTACCGTGACGAACGCCCCGGGATCCGCGTCGCCTACAGGACAGACGGCCGACTCCTCAATCAGTGGCAGATGCACTTCCAGTCACGTGTATCCACAACTGCCGTCCATGAACTTCTCTTCACCGACGACTACTCCCTCAACGCCACCTTTGAAGGAGACATTCAAAGGAGCATGAAAATATTCGCCGCCGCCTGTGACAACTTCGGCCTCATCAACAATATGGGAAAGACGGTGGTTATGCATCAACCGCCACCTGACGCCGCCTAGGGGTGAACAACGCCCAACTGCAAGCCGTGTTCAACTTCACTTACCTCGACAACACCCTCTCCCTCACCACAAAAATCAACGATGAAGTGACCCGCTGGATCGCCAAGGCCAGCCAAGTCATTGGCCGTCCGCGAAACTCAGTTTGGAATCACCACGTCCTCCACATCAGCACCAAAATTGGAGATGCACAAAGCGGTCATTCGGCCGACGTTGCTATATGGAGCCGAGACTTCGACTGTGTACAAGAAGCAGGTGGCGAAGACTCAACCACTTCCACATCCGCTATTTCCAACGGATATTGAAGTCGAGGTGGCAGGCTCAGATTCCAGACACGGACGTATTGGAACGGACGGGAATGCTCAGCATCTACGCCATGCTAAGATAACTGCAACTGCGCTGGAGCGACCACCTGGTGTACATGGAGTACGAGCGGTTACCCAAGCGACTTTCCTATGGAGATGTCGCCATGGGACCCCGCCGACATGGAGGACAAGTCCGGCCCTAAAAGGAAACACCGAAGACTTCCTTTAGGCGCCGCAAATTGACTTGACCAACCGCAAGAACCTCGTTTGGCACCTACCGACCCCGAGGAGAGCAGTGTAAACGGGCACAGCCATCTACAAAGCCAACCGCATCACCGCCGCCACAGCCAAACGCGAAGCTCGTAAATCTCAACTGCCCCCGTCCCGCAACGCCAATGCTCAACCGCCTCCGACCTTCCCATGATGTTAATAGACGTTTCGGGGACCAATTGATTTCATTGGACATCTTCGTACCAACTGCAGCACCCCGACTACACCACTCGTTGTCCCAACTTCCACCTCTGCCTCGTCCTGCACGCCGACAACCAACGCTGGCCGCAGTCCTGAACCCTCACTGTCATCCTCCTCCGTCGCCTCAACATCCGCTACGATGGATCCTGCACCCACCGCCACTGTACTCCATACTAACACCGCCAGACATCAACCTGACCACCGCCAACACCAACGATGTGGAATTGGTCCAAACCCGTCCACGCCGGCCTGGTCGGTCACTTGCGAATCTATCGCACAAAAACTGGCGGACCGGCGTATGGAGCACCCACATGAAGTCGCCGCATCTGTCCACACTGCCTCTGCACATTCGCTCACCACATGGGCCTTCTAGGGCACACGTGCATCCAGGTGAGCTGATGTCACCGCAGTCTGGAAACACCCAGCACATCCACCGTGCATAGCCTAACCCACACACCGCCGCCCACCGGGCTCACCACCAGCAACCCCACGGTCACTGAAACCGACCCTGTTCACACTTCCCCCGTATATTCACCTCACAAATTGACCTGGTTGACCACTTGCTAATCTGTCGCACAGAGGCTGGCGAACCAGTGCCTGGAGCACCCACACACACACTCGCCGCATCCGCATATTCACACACCGCATGGACCAATTAAGCCACATGCGCATTCATGAAAACCTGCGGTAGACAACCACTGACTAAACCACATCACCACATCTTCCCCCATCTACAACACACAACATTATAACTATCCACAAGCATTCAACTGCCACCTCCAACGCAAGTGGGACATGTGCGTCTCGGCTCCGTCTCCATGTGGCCCCTGCTGCATATACGATACGGATCTGAGACTATCAGAGTGCTTCAAACAGCGTGGCTTGGATGGCTGCTGACTGACGTCCTAACTCAATCCACGCAGTCCACCCAATTGCGTGTTTGTGTTGAGTGGCAGATTGGTGGGCTGAGAGCCACACTGAAACAACACTCTCACGCATGTGAGATGTGAGTTTATCTGCTGAATGGTTACGTAGTTGTTTGTATCTGCACGCGTTCTGTAATCAGGCGCCAGCCAGTGCTTCTCCGCGTTTGCGAACCACGCGTATTAGCGTCTGGGTAGTGGCCGAAGACGTTGAGGGTAGCACACACACGGTCGAATAGATTACCTAGAATAGCTGGCCGGTTATGTAGCGCTGGGCAGAGTAGTCAGACATCACGTCAGGCATGCATATAGGGATATTGTAATAAAATGGGTTTGAAGCGTATCAAACCTAAGTTACAGTAAATAAACGGGCGGAATAGTATTTAACGATTACAAGAGAATAACGACGTACTGTACAAACGATCCATTAGAAGTGGTAAATGATCACGTCATATCAGTCAGACATCGTTGGGGATTGAAGCGCTGACGGCAACTGTGGGTAAGGGCCGTGGAGTGTGCTGAAGATGGAGGACACGAGCGACGGACGGACGACGAGAGCGGGGGAATCATGCCAGCGGTAGGGAGGGAGGGAACGCCGACCGTCTTCACTGGCAGACGATCACACATCCGACATCCGTGCCAAGGTAGTTTCACCTCATTCAAACAACTCAGTCGAGTTTGTAACACGTTACATCTGCACGTGTCCACCGTTCCAGGGCCACTTGATTTTACTGAAAGTGCCCTTGTCGCGGCAGCTCGAGTCATGGGCGGACCCTGGCTCCTGCAAACTTCCGATCCAGTTCTGAATAGAAAGAGGGGGATCTGGACACTTAAGTGAACATTGCATTCTGTACAGAAGGAATGGAGACTAGTGCTGGGAGAAGCCGTCCTAACCCACTTGATCATACGCTGTCCGCGTGCTGATGTCACGTCGGCTCTCGACAGGACTGGAGGTTTACCCAACTACTCATATGAACCAGAAGTCCAGCCGACGTGGTAACCCATCAGGCACACCATCTGATTGGTGAGATGTCAGCCTGACCTTAGACATTTCCAATATCGCAATATATCTTTCCCTTCCTCCCTTGCTATTAATTTCTGGTTTGCGGATATGTTCGAGGAATGTTTTTGTGTTGACAACCAGCGAGGCATGCGGCAAGTTCACAAAAAATTGACAACACAGAACTCACAATGACTACAGTGAGTGATCGATCTCATGAAATGTTGGCTGATATTCTGAAACGTGTTTTCGACGAGGAAGGATTACTTAGACGCGGTTGTAATACTGATTATCTTGCGGCACAATCCCATAATATTTCGTATTCGGCAGGATGCCAGCTTTTGGGTACACTGCTTTTCAATCTCCTGCACTTCAGAATATCAGCCAACGTTTCAATGGATCGGTCACTCACTGTAATTTCGCGGAAAGATTACTGTTTAGCCTGCAACAGCTGCAGGCTCAGTTTAAGGCCGCCCACTTGAAGTTGATGAAGTTGATAATATGAAACTGCGATTTACGCTTTCCTGTTCTAGCACCCTCTGAAAATCAGTCCACGTCGGCTACGAGATCGCCGCTAATGTTACTTAGTTTATTTATGATCCCGATTTGGATGGGACCTTTGATTCCCGGTTCAAACACTGAGGAGACATTTTCCGCATTGAATTCGCTAGCGCCGATGATTCGTGGAAGATGTGACTGCCACTACCCAAAGTGGGCAGCAAGGAGCATTAGGCGTACATTGACAAGCTTCTGCGGAAAAGTCCTTGTATAATGCAAACTGATCTATTTTGCGACTTGAGCGACCAGTGTTTCACACGTCAGTCAGATGAGAAGAAACAAATTGGCCACGAGGACGCAAAGTGATGTTGACTTTTTATTCAAGGCAGTGTTACGACTTACAGGCGTATTTTAGCACACTAAAATACAATGTTTTTATGTCACTGCACCCTCGTCACTTCATATTGAGTAAAATGACCAAGCAATGCGCAGACTTTCGGGAGAAGTCATCATTGTTCAGCATTCGATACCAGTGTCTGAAGATGGTGAAGAACGAGACAAACGACATTCTGACTCTCGCCAGGATTCTCAACCGCGAGTGCGCAAAACCTAAACTGCCTAGGATGATAGAAAATCAACTTAAGTGCCTCATTTTTGTGTGTGTGCTCATAAATACTTCAGGATCCTGAAAGTAGAACTCGTCTGATCGGGACAATTGAACAAGACCTCGACTTCGCCCTGCCGACATTGACTGCCGAACGTCGGCGGCTCAAGAATCTTAAACATGATTCTGCTTTGTGGAGCAGTCCAGTCCCGCACTTGTTGCCGCCAATGTTCATGCCGTCACCAACACAAAGTCGATGTCACCATACAGGTCTCAGGACTCAACGCCATAAAACCTCTGGCACCACGTCGGGAATGTGGTGGTTGGCATTTCTTTCGCTTCTGCTCACTCAAGAAATAGGTTTATCAGAAACGTCATGAGCGAGGACATAAGAAAGGTCACTGTCCATCAAGCCAGCCCTCTGAATCAAGGGCATGCAAGAGGACTGTCCCAAATGCCCTTCAATCCATTCCCGTTCGAAGTCTAATTCCATCCCAGCCACGTTAAAGACTGAGTTTAAGTCGCAGAGAAGGTCAATTAGGGTTATTGTCAATGACCCGCAGTACGGCTTCAGTTGTATTAAACCTCAGATTTCATTCTCATCTCCAAGCGTACAAGGCACATGATTTCACGGTCTCCAGTAATCGATCTCATGAAAGGTTAGCCAAAATTCTGGAATGCGCTTCCGATTAGGAAAGATTACTTAAGTGGGGCTATTATACTGATTAGCATGGAGCACAATCCTGTAACATTTCGGAATCGTCAGGATGTCGGCTTTTGAATGAATTTCTTTTTGACCTCCTGCGGTAACCTCACTGGGTAAAAAAACACTACTTAATTAGCATGCATTTTTCCTACTGATTTTCGACGGTCTTATAAATTCAAATATATTTTGTAGAAAACATGCACAAAATATGCTTATATTGCTCACTTGAAAGGAAACCACATTGTCTTTTTATTTTATGGCCGAAGAAAGTGTATATTAAGGTTTTTAAAAAGTTTATAATTGTGAGATTTTTAAGGCCGTGCAATGTTCATGCATGGAAGACCGCGCATATGAATTTACCAATGGTCCTCATGAAATGTACAACATAGTTCGGATGCATTGCAAAATTTCCTGAGGTATATGCGGTACCTTCTTTAACACAACGAGGAATATATGATTTTCCTTACGCGAAAAGCATGCGCCTTCTAGACTGAAA